GAGCACCACCATCACCTTCATCTTCTGAAACCAGCGGCACTGTAGGGGTCTCAGACAGCTTTCACATTCAAAGTGTTAGAAGAATTACAAACCTCAGCTGACTTATCTGTGACTCTCATGTACTTCTGGCTGTTGGAGGTCTTTTTGGAGTTGTAAAATTCTAACACATCCAAAACAGCCTGTGGGTTTTTCTTCTGCTCTGACTTGGTGTTATTTGATGTCTGAAGCAAGTGGGCCCACTGCTCTGGTATCCCCGTAAACTCCCCTGGAACAACATCAAAACCAACATGAGGAGGACCAGCAGATGGCATAATGGTTACACTGCTGGACTCCCACAGTCGACCATGGTTCGAGTTCCAGACCTGATGACTTAAAACTCACACCAGGCATGTGTGCATGGTGCCCAAAATCCTGAGAGGAGAAGGGATTGTAGCATGGTCATACCCTCGGGAGGGTGATTTTTCACTTTGTCTCTCTGGTGAACTCATGCATTCTGTAGCAAAAATCTCTCTTAAAAATGTGTGTGTGTGTGTGTATGAACTATGTTCACAATCTGAAAGAAGAGAAATCTCTGGCTATTCATTCTCTTTCTTTTTATTTGTTTTATCTCCAGGTAAGATGGATTGGTGAAATCAGTCCATTTTCTTCTTCTCTGGGTTTGGAGGCAGAGGTGTGGAACTGTGGTTTAGGGTTATAGCATCTTTACTACCAGCTCCAATTACAGTGCTGGTGTTTCTCATCAGAGGGGCTAGGGGGTTTGTCTTGAATGTCTAGGCCACTATCTGGCACTGTCACCACTACCAGCAGCTACTGGTGGGTGCAGCCATCCCCAGCATATCTGGTGTTTGTCACAAAGCTGCACCTCTCTGCCCTGCTGGTTTCATGCAAGGCTCAGCTCCACTGGCCTTGGCTGGGCTGGTTGGAGCCCATACATGAATATTTAAATAACAAAAATTTTGCTTTAACCTGATTATACAATAATCTATAAACATAAAAGTGACTTTAAGCACTGAATTTTTGGACCTTAGAAATTCCGCCAGAGTGAGCCAGCTCAGAGCCTGGTGGTTTGTGAGCTGGATCTCACATGGTCAACTACCCAGTTCGAGTCCTGAACCCAACAGCAGGAAAAACACACCAGGTGCATGTGTATGCATGCTCAAAATCTTGAAGGCAGGGCAAATAGAGGACAAAGGATTATGGGGTGACCTTTCTCCAGGGGGGTGGGGGGATGCTTTCCCTCTGTCACAAGCCCTCTGGCCAACTGAAAAAAAAAAAAAAAAAAAGTGTCCCACCAGAGTGATAAACAATTTAATAGTGTTTTTAAGCTGAAACTATAATTCTCTGTGAAAATTTTGCAACAGTTTAAGAAATTCAAAGCAGGAAATTATTAAACACTATACCCTAATGAAGTGTTTTTAGGAAACAAAATAAAAACAGTGAGAAGTAAATTTAATAGCTGATGAAACTAAAGCTCTAAATTATGTATCATCTTTTATTGCATTTCAAACTAGAAATAAGCATACTCCCCGAAAAAATCTCAAAAGACAATTTTTATCCTAAACGTAAAATAGGTAAGTCTTGATTTAGAAATTTTTTCAAATTTACATGAAAGGGAATTGTTTTTCTTTTCTTTCTTTTCTTTTCTTTTGTTTTTTTTGGAGAGGTATTTGCTATAGGGCGCATGCGCTCGCCAGACAGACAGAGAGAAACAGAGAGACAGAAAGCGAGAAATCACCCCCCAGGGGGGATGGTCACACCGCAATCCCTTCTCCTCCATTCTCCTCTTGGGATCTTGGGCATGCATGCACAAGCACCCGGTGTGAGTTTTAAGCCACCGGGTCTGGGACGCGAACTGTAGTCGACTACATGGGAGTCCAGCGACATAGCTATTACGCTAACTGCTAGTCCCAAGGGAATTGTTTTTTTAAAAAGTACAATTTACGTTCCCCCTGTCACGAGCCCTCTGGCCAACCAAAAAAAAAAAAAAAAAAGTGTCCCACCAGAGTGATAAACAATTTAATAGTGTTTTTAAGCTGAAACTATAATTCTCTGTGAAAATTTTGCAACAGTTTAAGAAATTCAAAGCAGGAAATTATTAAACACTATACCCTAATGAAGTGTTTTTAGGAAACAAAATAAAAACAGTGAGAAGTAAATTTAATAGCTGATGAAACTAAAGCTCTAAATTATGTATCATCTTTTATTGCATTTCAAACTAGAAATAAGCATACTCCCCGAAAAAATCTCAAAAGACAATTTTTATCCTAAACGTAAAATAGGTAAGTCTTGATTTAGAAATTTTTTCAAATTTACATGAAAGGGAATTGTTTTTCTTTTCTTTCTTTTCTTTTCTTTTGTTTTTTTTGGAGAGGTATTTGCTATAGGGCGCATGCGCTCGCCAGACAGACAGAGAGAAACAGAGAGACAGAAAGCGAGAAATCACCCCCCAGGGGGGATGGTCACACCGCAATCCCTTCTCCTCCATTCTCCTCTTGGGATCTTGGGCATGCATGCACAAGCACCCGGTGTGAGTTTTAAGCCACCGGGTCTGGGACGCGAACTGTAGTCGACTACATGGGAGTCCAGCGACATAGCTATTACGCTAACTGCTAGTCCCAAGGGAATTGTTTTTTTAAAAAGTACAATTTACAGGTCATTGAATTGACATTTATTAAGCGCTGGTACTGATGATAGCCTATGAATCCCCATTATTCAGTGCCTCAGTTGAAAGGACCTCAGCTCAGAGTACATCCTCTGAAATCTTGTACATTGCAAGAGTAGCCTTACTCATTTCTAACAACTAGACTGTTCAAAGATCCTTTAATGAGACAAGAAAATTAACTTCATGAATCCTAAATTTATCATTTCTTGAAGGCAATAAATTTACATTAGTAGAAGAGTAGTCTGATTCAAAGACTGAGAGTCAAATATGTTAGCCCCAAAATGCTGAGGAACTTGTTCCACTCCTTTACCAAGAGTCAGTCACAGAACATTATGTTATAGTCAATTGCTGCTACTTTAGAAGCAAATATATAAGGAAATCGCTAATAGAATTTAAGCATGTGCTATTCTGGAACCACCATGCTGGACAGGTGTACAAAAGGAAGACTATGTGGAGCCTGTTCCTACTTACTTTTACAGCTAAGTAAAATGTAACAAAATTTTAATACAATTTAACAAAAAGGGGTAATAGGATCCTTAAACTAAACATTTAGTTTGAGCATCATTTTTTTAACTTATTGTGATACTAGAGATCTTTAGGTATAGCACCCACACATATTTTTAGAAGTCCCAGCTAACAGTCCTATCTAAAAAAAGGAAGAAGTAGATGGATTATGTTAGGAGGTATCTCAAAGGCCTAAAGCTATAGGGACTAACCTGGACCTGTGGGGAAGGTGAAGGTGAAATTATCTTAAAATATATTACATTGGGCCAGTTCCATGGCCTACTGGTTAAGGCACCCAGACCTTACATGGATAACAGCACGGTTTGGATTCCAGCCCTAACAACTTAAAAAATACACCAGATATGTGCGTGTACTTGCCTGAAATCCCAACAGGGCAGAGAAACAGAAAAGGGATTGTGGCATGACCATGGCCTGCTAGGGACTGCTTTCTTTCCCCCTCCCCCATCTTTCTGTCTCTCTTTTTGGCAAGCACATCTGCCCTCTGGCAAATAAAATTTTTATACACACACACACACACACACACACACACACATTGCATCAAGAATGTGCTGAGAGTAAAAGATCAATTTTAGGAATATCTTATCCATCATAGAAATAATGCAACAAAACAAAATGGAACATAAAAGAGACAGGTCCTATTAGAAATATTAAAAGCAGACTCATTGGTATACCAGTCTAATTAGTTGGTATTATCAAACTGCTATAAAGTAAAAGTAATTCTGTATGTATTCTACCATGAAAATTCCTCTTCTGGGTTGAATTAATTCAACATTCTTCAAAGATCCCCCTACCCAACAAACATGCATACTTGCTATTAAATTAAAATGCATAGGTCTATCTAAAAAGGATTGTCTCTGGGATGCTCCACTGCATATTTCAAGATGCCTGACATGTTCCAACTTACCCTGTACGATGGTAAGGGTGGAGGCCTGAGACACACCTCTTACTATAGGTGGCAGGCTTGCCCTCCAGTCAAATAATTGTGAGCCTGCTTTCAAGGTGAGTAATGGCAATAAGAACTACAAGTTTGAATTGTACTAAGTTTGAAGCTTTCTTGAGCTTATTTTATGTTTGAGCTTGAAAGTTTGATTAAAACTTAGGTTTATGAAAACAAGGTATGGTTTTAAAATAGTGCCATCCTTTTGAATAGTATCCTAAGGCATATTTAAGAAATATTATGGTTCTAAAAGTATTAATTCAGTCTTGTAAATAGTCTCTGGAAAGTAAAAATTAATGCCAATTGAGGAGATAATTAAATAGTTACCTCCATGAGTAAAGGTAGACTAATTAAAACAATGACAGATTATATCTAAATGGTAGATTAAGATATGTTTGAAATAATTA